CAGTGCCCATTTTAGAGATCCGCAACCAGTGTTAGCCAACAATGGTTTTGCGCTCTCAATTATGAGGTGAATCGAGCCTGGGTTTGGCAATTTGAGTCAAATACTCAGTGCTCCAAAGCAGAGTGGCGCAGCGGAAGCGTGCTGGGCCCATAACCCAGAGGTCGATGGATCGAAACCATCCTCTGCTAATTTCGAAGTTTTCAATATTTTTAGTCCACCAAATGAATATCTGTTTAATGTATTGGCCACTAAATAAATTGCCATTGACAACCCAGTGCAGCCAATTCAGCAAGCATAAGCATCCCTCCTCACATTCTATGCACATTAAAAATTATGGTACAGATCCATATCCACTCTTTTGAAACCCACCTTTTTCTGTTTCAAACAATGCCAACATCTGGTTGGGATTAACCTTAGTAAACCTTTTGAACTGAAATCAATTTATTCGCAAAACGTCAGCCCCAGTGGCCTAAAGGATAAGGCACTGGCCTCCTAAGCCAGGGATTGTGGGTTCGAGTCCCGTCTGGGGTGATTTAAAGCAGAGTGGCGCAGCGGAAGCGTGCTGGGCCCATAACCCAGAGGTCGATGGATCGAAACCATCCTCTGCTAGATGTGTGTTTTATACCACAAAGTCAATTGCAATTTGACATCCAGGTCTAGCCACCTCAGCAAACATGAGGATTTTGGCTCAAATTCAGTGCCCATTTTAGAGATCCGCAACCAGTGTTAGCCAACAATCGTTTTTCACTCTCAATTTTGAGGTGAATCGAGCCTGGGTTTGGCAATTTGAGTCAAATAGTTAGTACTACAAAGCAGAGTGGCCGCAGCGGAAGCGTGCTGGGCCCATAACCCAGCGGTCGATGGATCGAAACCATCCTCTGCTAATTTTGGAGTTTTCAATGTTTTAGTCCACCAAGTGAATATCTGTTCAATGTATTGGCCACTAAATAAATTGCCATTGACATCCCAGTGCAGCCAATTCAGCAAGCATAAGCCTCCTCACATTCTATGCACATTAAAAATTTTGGTACATATCCATATCCACTCTTTTGAAACCCACCTTTTTCTGTTTCAAAACAATGCCAACATCTGGTTGGGATTAACCTTAGTAAACCTTTTGAACTGAAATCAATTTCTTTGCACCATATCTGCCCCAGTGGACTAATGGATAAGGCACTGGCCTCCTAGGCCAGGGGATTGTGCGTTCGAGACCCATCTGGGGTGATTTAAAGCAGAGACGGGCTGCGGATGCGTGATGCACCCAGAGGGCGATGGATTGAAACCATCCCCTGCAAGATGAAATTTAACCTCCTGTGTTAGCGTCCTCTGCAAACATGTGGATTTTGCCTGAAATTCAGTGCCCATTTTAGAGATCCGCAACCAGTGTTAGCCAACAATGGTTTTGCGCTCCTCAATTATGAGGTGAATCGAGCCTGGGTTTGGCAATTTGAGTCAAATACTCAGTACTAGAAAGCAGAGTGGCGCAGCGGAAGCGGTGCTGGGCCCAAAACCCAGAGGCGCTGGATCGAAACCATCCCCTGCAAGATGCAATTTGACCTCCTGTGCTAGCGTCCTCTGCAAACATGTGGATTTTGCCTGAAATTCAGTGCCCATTTTAGAGATCCGCAACCAGTGTTAGCCAACAATGGTTTTGCGCTCTCAATTATGAGGTGAATCGAGCCTGGGTTTGGCAATTTGAGTCAAATACTCAGTGCTACAAAGCAGAGTGGCGCAGCGGAAGCGTGCTGGGCCCATAACCCAGAGGTCGATGGATCGAAACCATCCTCTGCTACTTTCTGAGTTTTCAATGTTTTAGTCCACCAAATGAATATCTGTTCAATGTATTGGCCACTAAATAAATTGCCATTGACAACCCAGTGCAGCCAATTCAGCAAGCATAAGCATCCCTCCTCACATTCTATGCACATTAAAAATTATGGTACAGATCCATATCCACTCTTAAAGAAAACCCACCTTTTTCTGTTTCAAACAATGCCAACAGCTGGTTGGGATTAACCTTAGTAAACCTTTGAACTGAAAGCAATTTCTTTGCAACATATCTGCCCCGGTGGACTAATGGATAAGGCACTGGCCTTCAAGGCCAGGGATTGTGCGTTCGAAACCCGTCTGGGGTGATTAAAAGCATAGTGGGGCAGCGGATGCGTGATGGACCCAGAGGACGATGAATCGAAACCATCCCCTGTAAGTTGCACTTTGACCTCCTGTGCTAGCGTCCTCTGTAAACATGTGGATTTTGCCTGAAATTCAGTGCCCATTTTAGAGATCCGCAACAGTGTTAGCCAACAATGGTTTTGCGCTCTAAATTATGAGGTGAATCGAGCCTGGTTTGCCAATTTGAGTCAAATACTCAGTGCTCCAAAGCAGAGTGGCGCAGCGGAAGCGTGCTGGGCCCATAACCCAGAGGTCGATGGATCGAAACCATCCTCTGCTAATTTCGGAGTTTTCAATGTTTTTAGTCCACCAAATGAATATCTGTTTAATGTATTGGCCACTAAATAAATTGCCATTGACAACCCAGTGCAGCCAATTCAGCAAGCATAAGCATCCCTCCTCACATTCTATGCACATTAAAAAATTATGGTACAGATCCATATCCACTCTTTTGAAACCCACCTTTTTCTGTTTCAAACAATGCCAACATCTGGTTGGGATTAACCTTAGTAAACCTTTTGAACTGAAATCAATTTATTCGCAACACGTCAGCCCCAGTGGCCTAATGGATAAGGCACTGGCCCTCCTAAGCCAGGGATTGTGGGTTCGAGTCCCGTCTGGGGTGATTTAAAACAGAGAGGCGCAGCGGAAGCGTGCTGGGCCCATAACCCAGAGGTCGATGGATCGAAACCATCCTCTGCTAGATGTGTGTTTTATACCACAAAAGTCAATTGCAATTTGACATCCAGGTCTAGCCACCTCAGCAAACATGAGGATTTTGGCTCAAATTCAGTGCCCATTTTAGAGATCCGCAACCAGTGTTAGCCAACAATCGTTTTTCACTCTCAATTTTGAGGTGAATCGAGCCTGGGTTTGGCAATTTGAGTCAAATAGTTAGTACTACAAAGCAGAGTGGCGCAGCGGAAGCGTGCTGGGCCCATAACCCAGCGGTCGATGGATTGAAACCATCCTCTGCTAATTTCGGAGTTTTCAATGTTTTAGTCCACCAAATGAATATCTGTTCAATGTATTGGCCACTAAATAAATTGCCATTGGACATCCCAGTGCAGCCAATTCAGCAAGCATAAGCCTCCTCACATTCTATGCACATTAAAAATTTTGGTACATATCCATATCCACTCTTTTGAAACCCACCTTTTTCTGTTTCAAACAATGCCAACATCTGGTTGGGATTAACCTTAGTAAACCTTTTGAACTGAAAATCAATTTCTTTGCACCATATCTGCCCCAGTGGACTAATGGATAAGGCACTGGCCTCCTAGGCCAGGGATTGTGCGTTCGAGACCCATCTGGGGTGATTTAAAGCAGAGTCGGGCTGCGGATGCGTGATGGACCCAGAGGTCGATGGATTGAAACCATCCCCTGCAAGATGAAATTTAACCTCCTGTGTTAGCGTCCTCTGCAAACATGTGGATTTTGCCTGAAATTCAGCGCCCATTTTAGAGATCCGCAACCAGTGTTAGCCAACAATGGTTTTGCGCTCTCAATTATGAGGTGAATCGAGCCTGGGTTTGGCAATTTGAGTCAAATACTCAGTACTACAAAGCAGAGTGGCGCAGCGGAAGCGTGCTGGGCCCAAAACCCAGAGGCGCTGGATCGAAACCATCCCCTGCAAGATGCAATTTGACCTCCTGTGCTAGCGTCCTCTGCAAACATGTGGATTTTGCCTGAAATTCAGTGCCCATTTTAGAGATCCGCAACCAGTGTTAGCCAACAATGGTTTTGCGCTCTCATTATGAGGGTGAATCGAGCCGGGTTTGGCAATTTGAGTCAAATACTCAGTGCTACCAAAGCAGAGTGGCGCAGCGGAAGCGTGCTGGGCCCCATAACCCAGAGGTCGATGGATCGAAACCATCCTCTGCTAATTTCTGAGTTTTCAATGTTTTAGTCCACCAAATGAATATCTGTTCAATGTATTGGCCACTAAATAAATTGCCATTGACAACCCAGTGCAGCCAATTCAGCAAGCATAAGGCATCCCTCCTCACAGTCTATGCACATTAAAAATTATGGTACAGATCCATTATCCTCTCTTAAAGAAAACCCACCTTTTTCTGTTTCAAACAATGCCAACAGCTGGTGTGGATTAACCTTAGTAAAACCTTTTGAACTGAAAGCAATTTCTTTGCAACATATCTGCCCCGGTGGGACTAATGGATAAGGCACCTGGCCTCCAAGGCCAGGGATTGTGCGGTTCGGAAACCTGTCTGGGGTGATTAAAAGCATAGTGGGGGCTGCGGGATGCGTGATGGGACCCAGAGGACGATGATCGAAACCATCCCTGTAAAGTTGGCAATTTGAACTCCTGTGCTAGCGCCTCTGTAAACTTGTGGATTTTGCCTGAAATTCAGTGGCCGCATTTTAGAGATCCGCAACCAGTGTTAGCCAACAATGGTTTTGCGCTCTAATTATGAGTTGAATCGAGCCCTGGGTTTGCCAATTTGAGTCAAATACTCAGTGCTCCAAAGCAGAGTGGCGCAGCGAAGCGTGCTGGGCCCCATAACCCAGAGGTCGATGGATCGAAACCATCCTCTGCTAATTTCGGAGTTTTCAATGTTTTAGTCCACCAAATGAATATCTGTTTAATGTATGGGCCACTAAATAAATTGCCATTGACAACCCAGTGCAGGCCAATTCAGCAAGCATAAGCATCCCTCCTCACATCTAAGCACATTAAAAATGTTGGTACATATCCAAATCCACTCTTTTGAAACCCCACCTTTTTTCTGTTCAAACAATGCCAACATCTGGTTGGGATTAACCTTAGAAACCTTTTGAACTGAAATCAATTTCTTTGCACCATATCTGCCCCAGTGGACTAATGATAAGGGCACTGGCCATCCTAGGCCAGGGATGTGCGGTTCGAGACCCTTCTGGGGTGATTTTAAAGCAGAGTCGGGCAGCGGTGATGCGTGATGGACCCCAGAGGTCGATGGATTGGAAAAACCATCCCCTGCAAGATGAAATTTAACCCTCCGGGGTGTTAGCGTCCTCTGCAAAACATGTGGATTTTTGCCTGAAATTCAGTGCCCTTTTAGAGATCCGCAACCAGTGTTAGGCCAACAATGGTTTTTGCGCTCTCAATTATGAGTGTTGAATCGAGCCCTGGTTTGGCAATTTGAGTCAAATACTCAGTACTACAAAGCAGAGTGGGGCGCAGCGGAAGCGTGCTGGGGCCAAAACCCAGAGGCGCTGGATCGAAACCATCCCCCTGCAAGATGCAATTTGACCTCCTGTTCTAGCGTCCTCTGCAAACATGTGGATTTTGCCTGAAATTCAGTGGCCCATTTTGAGAGATCCGCAACCAGTGTTAGCCAACAATGGTTTTGCGCTCTCAATTATGAGGTGAATCGAGCCTGGGTTTGGCAATTTGAGTCAAATACTCAGTGCTCCAAAGCAGAGTGGCGCAGCGGAAGCGTGCTGGGCCCATAACCCAGAGGTCGATGGATCGAAACCATCCTCTGCTAATTTCGGAGTTTTCAATTTTTTAGTCCACCAAATGAATATCTGTTTAATGTATTGGCCACTAAATAAATTGCCATTGACAACCCAGTGCAGCCAATTCAGCAAGCATAAGCATCCCTCCTCACATTCTATGCACATTAAAAAATTATGGTACAGATCCATATCCACTCTTTTGAAACCCACCTTTTTCTGTTTCAAACAATGCCAACATCTGGTTGGGATTAACCTTAGTAAACCTTTTGAACTGAAATCAATTTATTCGCAAACGTCAGCCCCAGTGGCCTAAAGGATAAGGCACTGGCCTCCTAAGCCAGGGATTGTGGGTTCGAGTCCCGTCTGGGGTGATTTAAAGCAGAGTGGCGCAGCGGAAGCGTGCTGGGCCCATAACCCAGAGGTCGATGGATCGAAACCATCCTCTGCTAGATGTGTGTTTTATACCACAAAGTCAATTGCAATTTGACATCCAGGTCTAGCCACCTCAGCAAACATGAGGATTTTGGCTCAAATTCAGTGCCCATTTTAGAGATCCGCAACCAGTGTTAGCCAACAATCGTTTTTCACTCTCAATTTTGAGGTGAATCGAGCCTGGGTTTGGCAATTTGAGTCAAATAGTTAGTACTACAAAGCAGAGTGGCGCAGCGGAAGCGTGCTGGGCCCATAACCCAGCGGTCGATGGATCGAAACCATCCTCTGCTAATTTGGAGTTTTCAATGTTTTAGTCCACCAAATGAATATCTGTTCAATGTATTGGCCACTAAATAAATTGCCATTGACATCCCAGTGCAGCCAATTCAGCAAGCATAAGCCTCCTCACATTCTATGCACATTAAAAATTTTGGTACATATCCATATCCACTCTTTTGAAACCCACCTTTTTCTGTTTCAAACAATGCCAACATCTGGTTGGGATTAACCTTAGTAAACCTTTTGAACTGAAATCAATTTCTTTGCACCATATCTGCCCCAGTGGACTAATGGATAAGGCACTGGCCTCCTAGGCCAGGGATTGTGCGTTCGAGACCCATCTGGGGTGATTTAAAGCAGAGTCGGGCTGCGGATGCGTGATGACCCAGAGGCGATGGATTGAAACCATCCCCTGCAAGATGAAATTTAACCTCCTGTGTTAGCGTCCTCTGCAAACATGTGGATTTTGCCTGAAATTCAGCGCCCATTTTAGAGATCCGCAACCAGTGTTAGCCAACAATGGTTTTGCGCTCTCAATTATGAGGTGAATCGAGCCTGGGTTTGGCAATTTGAGTCAAATACTCAGTACTACAAAGCAGAGTGGCGCAGCGGAAGCGTGCTGGGCCCAAAACCCAGAGGCGCTGGATCGAAACCATCCCCTGCAAGATGCAATTTGACCTCCTGTGCTAGCGTCCTCTGCAAACATGTGGATTTTGCCTGAAATTCAGTGCCCATTTTAGAGATCCGCAACCAGTGTTAGCCAACAATGGTTTTGCGCTCTCAATTATGAGGTGAATCGAGCCTGGGTTTGGCAATTTGAGTCAAATACTCAGTGCTCCAAAGCAGAGTGGCGCAGCGGAAGCGTGCTGGGCCCATAACCCAGAGGTCGATGGATCGAAACCATCCTCTGCTAATTTCTGAGTTTTCAATGTTTTAGTCCACCAAATGAATATCTGTTCAATGTATTGGCCACTAAATAAATTGCCATTGACAACCCAGTGCAGCCAATTCAGCAAGCATAAGCATCCCTCCTCACATTCTATGCACATTAAAAATTATGGTACAGATCCATATCCACTCTTAAAGAAAACCCACCTTTTTCTGTTTCAAACAATGCCAACAGCTGGTTGGGATTAACCTTAGTAAACCTTTTGAACTGAAAGCAATTTTCTTGCAACATATCTGCCCCGGTGGACTAATGGATAAGGCACTGGCCTCCAAGGCCAGGGATTGTGCGTTCGAAACCCGTCTGGGGTGATTAAAAGCATAGTGGGGCAGCGATGCGTGATGGACCCAGAGGACGATGAATCGAAACCATCCCCTGTAAGTTGCAATTGACCTCCTGTGCTAGCGTCCTCTGTAAACATGTGGATTTTGCCTGAAATTCAGTGCCCATTTTAGAGATCCGCAACCAGTGTTAGCCAACAATGGTTTTGCGCTCTAAATTATGAGGTGAATCGAGCCTGGGTTTGCCAATTTGAGTCAAATACTCAGTGCTCCAAAGCAGAGTGGCGCAGCGGAAGCGTGCTGGGCCATAACCCAGAGTCGATGGATCGAAACCATCCTCTGCTAATTTCGGAGTTTTCAATGTTTTAGTCCACCAAATGAATATCTGTTTAATGTATTGGCCACTAAATAAATTGCCATTGACAACCCAGTGCAGCCAATTCAGCAAGCATAAGCATCCCTCCTCACATTCTATGCACATTAAAAATGTTGGTACATATCCATATCCACTCTTTTGAAACCCACCTTTTTCTGTTTCAAACAATGCCAACATCTGGTTGGGATTAACCTTAGTAAACCTTTTGAACTGAAATCAATTTCTTTGCACCATATCTGCCCAGTGGACTAATGGATAAGGCACTGGCCTCCTAGGCCAGGGATTGTGCGTTCGAGACCCATCTGGGGTGATTTAAAGCAGAGTCGGGCAGCGGATGCGTGATGGACCCAGAGGTCGATGGATTGAAACCATCCCCTGCAAGATGAAAATTTAACCTCCTGTGTTAGCGTCCTCTGCAACATGTGGATTTTGCCTGAAATTCAGTGCCCATTTTAGAGATCCGCAACCAGTGTTAGCCAACAATGGTTTTGCGCTCTCAATTATGAGTTTGAATCGAGCCTGGGTTTGGCAATTTGAGTCAAATACTCAGTACTACAAAGCAGAGTGCGCGCAGCGGAAGCGTGCTGGGCCCAAAACCCAGAGGCGCTGGATCGAAACCATCCCCTGCAAGATGCAATTTGACCTCCTGTGCTAGCGTCCTCTGCAAACATGTGGATTTTGCCTGAAATTCAGTGCCCATTTTAGAGATCCGCAACCAGTGTTAGCCAACAATGGTTTTGCGCTCTCAATTATGATGGTGAATCGAGCCTGGGTTTGGCAATTTGAGTCAAATACTCAGTGCTCCAAAGCAGAGTGGCGCAGCGGAAGCGTGCTGGGCCCATAACCCAGAGGTCGATGGATCGAAACCATCCTCTGCTAATTTCGGAGTTTTCAATATTTTAGTCCACCAAATGAATATCTGTTTAATGTATTGGCCACTAAATAAATTGCCATTGACAACCCAGTGCAGCCAATTCAGCAAGCATAAGCATCCCTCCTCACATTCTATGCACATTAAAAATTATGGTACAGATCCATATCCACTCTTTTGAAACCCACCTTTTTCTGTTTCAAACAATGCAACATCTGGTTGGGATTAACCTTAGTAAACCTTTTGAACTGAAATCATATTTATTCGCAAAACGTCAGCCCCAGTGGCCTAAAGGATAAGGCTGGCCTCCTAAGCCAGGGATTGTGGGTTCGAGTCCCGTCTGGGGTGATTTAAAGCAGAGTGGCGCAGCGGAAGCGTGCTGGGCCCATAACCCAGAGGTCGATGGATCGAAACCATCCTCTGCTAGATGTGTGTTTTATACCACAAAGTCAATTGCAATTTGACATCCAGGTCTAGCCACCTCAGCAAACATGAGGATTTTGGCTCAAATTCAGTGCCCATTTTAGAGATCCGCAACCAGTGTTAGCAACAACAATCGTTTTTCACTCTCAATTTTGAGGTGAATCGAGCCTGGGTTTGGCAATTTGAGTCAAATAGTTAGTACTACAAAGCAGAGTGGCGCAGCGGAAGCGTGCTGGGCCCATAACCCAGCGGTCGATGGATCGAAACCATCCTCTGCTAATTTTGGAGTTTTCAATGTTTTAGTCCACCAAAATGAATCTGTTCAATGTATTGGCCACTAAATAAATTGCCATTGACATCCCAGTGCAGCCAATTCAGCAAGCATAAGCCTCCTCACATTCTATGCACATTAAAAATTTTGGTACATATCCATATCCACTCTTTTGAAACCCACCTTTTTCTGTTTCAAACAATGCCAACATCTGGTTGGGATTAACCTTAGTAAACCTTTTGAACTGAAATCAATTTCTTTGCACCATATCTGCCCCAGTGGACTAATGGATAAGGCACTGGCCTCCTAGGCCAGGGATTGTGCGTTCGAGACCCATCTGGGGTGATTTAAAGCAGAGTCGGGCTGCGGATGCGTGATGCACCCAGAGGGCGATGGATTGAAACCATCCCCTGCAAGATGAAATTTAACCTCCTGTGTTAGCGTCCTCTGCAAACATGTGGATTTTGCCTGAAATTCAGTGCCCATTTTAGAGATCCGCAACCAGTGTTAGCCAACAATGGTTTTGCGCTCTCAATTATGAGGTGAATCGAGCCTGGGTTTGGCA